CAACCCCTGCACTCTATACATTTGTAAGGCCTCCCCTGTTTTTACTGCACTGTTCTTGACATATATTTCCTTCCTTTTCTTTACCAAACTCCCAATATCCCTTGACATCCAGTGTTCACTGGACTTGCAGCCCTTGCCTTTCACTCTTTGGGGAACACATTAGCTCTGAATTCTCACTATATTCCTTTTGAAAGACTCCTAATTTCCAAATTTAGACTTAGTCTAGGTACGATACTCACAGCTTTGTTCGCCAAATCCTGTCTAATGATATTGAAATTGACCTTCCTCCCAGTTTAGACACTCAACTTCTGCACTATCCTATCCCAAAAAATGCTCGCCCACTGAAACTTCAACCATTTGACTAGCTTCATTTTGTATGATTAAGTCTAAGACTACCACATCTCTAGTAGGACCATCTATGTACTGGCACAAAAAGGTCTCCTGGGTGCACTTTAAAAATTCCACCCCATCTAATCCTTTCACACTAAGATGATCGCAGTTAATGTTAGCAAAGTTGAAATCCCCTACAAGTATTCTCATGCCTTTCTGTGAAGGCCTACAAATCATCGTCATACAGCATGGAAACAGACCTTTACGTGCTGACCAGGCATCCCAGTCTGACTTAGTCCCATTTTCCAGCATTTGACCCATATCTGTGTAAACTCTTCCTATTCATATGCCCATCCAGATGCCTTTAAAATGTTGTAATTGTACCTATCTCCACCACTTCCTCTGGCAGCTCGATCCATACACACCACCCTCTGCATGAGAAAGTTACTCTTTGGGTACCTTTATAAATATTTCCCCTCTCACTTTAAACCTATGCCCTCTAGTTTTGAACTCCCCCACCCTAGGGAAAAAGACCTTGGCAATTCATCCTATCCATGCCCTTCAATGATTTTATAAACCTCTATAAGGAGGGGAACTCCAGGGAAAGAAATCCCAGCCTATTCAGCCTCTCTCTATAGCTCAAACTCTCCAATCCTGGCAATGTCCGTGTAAATCTTTACTGCAACCTGTCAAGATTAAAAACATTCTTCCTATAGAGTCCAGAATTAGATTTTATTGTCACGCAGCATTCTAAAAGTGGCCTCACCAATGTCCTGTACAGCCGCAACATGACATCCCAACTCCTATACTCCATGTTCCGACCAGTGAAGTCCAGTGCCAAATGCCTTCTTCACCATCCTGTTTACCTACGACTCCACTTTCAAGGAACTATGCAACTGCACTCCGAGGTCTTTTTGCTCAGCAACACTGCCCAAGGCCCTGCCATTAACTGTACAAGTCCTACCTTGGTTTGCCTTGCCAAAATGCAACACCTCACATTTATCTAAATTAAATTCCATCAGCTTCTCCCTGGCCTGTTGGCCCATCTGATCAAAGTCCTGTTCTACTCTAATGTAACCTTCTTGACTGTCCATTGTACCATCAATTTTGGTGCCATCTGCAAATTTACTAACCATACCTCATATATTCACGTCCAAATCATTTTATACAAATTGTGAAAAACAGTGGATCTAGCATTGGTCCTTATGGCAAACCTCTGGTCACAGGCCTCCAGTCTGAAAAGCAACCCTCTACTACCACCCTCTGTCTCCTACCTTCAAGCCAATTTTATAACCAATTGGCTAGCTCCCCCTGGATTTCATGTGATCTAACCCTGCTATATCTGCTCTTCTATCTCCCTCTGACTGTTAGGAGACCTGTAGTACTATCCCAGCAAAGTAACTGCCCCTTTTTTATAGAATGCCTACAGCGTGGAAACAGGCCATTCGGCCCAACAAGTCGACACAGACTGTAAAGAGCATCCCACCCAGCCTCAGCCCCTACCTTATCCCTGTAACCCTGTATTTCCCATGGCTAATCCACTTAAGCTACCCATCCGTGGACACTATTGGCAATTTAGCATGGCCTGTCCACCTAACCTGCATATCTTCGGACTGTGGGAGGAAATTACAGCACCCAAAGGAAACCCACACAGACATGGGGAGAACATGCAAAACTCCCCACAGACAGTCGCCCGAGGCTGGAGTTGGACCCAGATCCCTGGCGCTGTGAGGCAGCAGTGCTAACCACTGAGCAACTGGGCTGCCCCATTTCTAAGCTCTCCCCAAATAACTTGATTTGAAGGTCCTTCAAGACATCCTCCCTCATTACTGTAGTGATTGTTTCCTTTATCAATAATGCAATGCATCCATCTCTCTTATATCTCCTCCCATCACATCCGAAACTTCTGTCCTGAAGTATTGAGTTGCCAGTTGTTCTTCCTTCAACCACATCCCAGTGATTGCAACTATATCATATTCTCACATGTTGATCAACGTTCTAAGTTCATCCGTCTTACCAGTCAAGGTCCTTGCATTAAAATAGATACAGTTCTTATTTCTGGAGCTCCCATGTGCCTTATCCTGCCCATGTCTTCTCTACCTACTGGACTGTCCTAGCATTCCTGTATCTGATTAGATCTTGCTCCCAACTTTACAACTACTGTGCTCCTTTCCCCTGTTATTCTTTTAAACACAAGATAAATGAGAACACTCCCAGACCCTAGGACGCTATAAAATACCACAACACAGCCCCCACTTCATGGAGACATCTTTGGTTTTTTACACCATTGGACATAAATATCAAATGCATTCATGTGGAATTTCTCATTTTGCTGTGTTAGCAGAAGCATTAAGCTGTTTCACAAATTGGCATGGGCAAACCACCAGCCTCACCACACTATCTCACCTGCTCTCAGCCCACCTCCCACTCCACATCGACTGTTCAATAACGTACTTTGCTCATTGACACCAATGACTTCCATGCTTTTACCAGCTTGCTCCGTTTGTAAATGCACACAATGCATCTCATGGCTCTTAGCTTGCTTCCTTAGACTTCACTCACTTTCCACTTACTTGCACGTTGCCAGTTTCTATCCACTTCATTATTTTCTTATTGCAGACTTACTGATTTCAGCACTGATTTACGGAATGCCACCAACGGGGGCAATTTGCTTTTTTAGTGCTCAGCATCTTTATTGCTCAGTTATAGTCTGGCAGCCTCTGTAGCACACGTTAGTTGTTAGCAGAAAGGGAGAGGCAGGCAGCTTGTCCTGACCGGAGAACAGAACAGTGGAGGAGGCAGATACTTTGCTATATGGCACCGCGCTATGTGAACATCAAACCTGCAGCATGTATGTGCTAGTTCATGCAGCAAATACACTGAGTGTGCTTCAAGCAAATGGTCACGTGAAAGGGGAGAAGTCCCTAGTAGGATGAGGGGCCTACATTCAGTCAGTGTGTAGCATCTAAGTCACAAGACTTGTTCCCTGAGACAAGGGAGGGATTCAGTATGATGGAAGAGGTTAGAAGAACAATTGACGGTGATGTACGAGTGGGGAGACGTGGTGACATATCCCTAGTGAGTGAGTTAGAAGTGCAGAAACCAAGAAAGATTAGTAGTTTCTGACACTGAAAGTTGGTGAAAGCCATTGAATGGATGTAATGCATGCAGTAGTTAGAGTTACAATGAACATACTAACATGGAGCAGAAGTAGGTTATTTGGTCCTTCAAGCTCTGCCATTCAAGAAGATCATGGCTGATGTCAGTGCTGCAAATTCAATATTCCATTAATTCACAAGAACCTATGATCCTCTTGCATAACAAGAATCGATCTCCCTCAATCTTTAAAATATTCAAAGATCCCACTGCCACCACCTTCTGATGCAGAGAGTTCCAAAGTCGCACAGCCCTCCAAGAAAAAAATCCTCGTAATTCTATCCTAAAAGGCTGACCTTGGTTTTAACAGTGTCCCACTGTTCTGAACTCACTCACATCCTTTCCATGTCTACCTTTTCAAGACCATTGAAGATCTTACAAACTTCATCCACCCTACAGCCCTCACTCTCATTCAAACAAATGGAGAAAACCTCCAAACCTGTTGGACAACTGCAAAGTCTGAGCACAGAATAGACATGACATGGATCAAAAGGTGTGAATAATGCTATTTAGTCCTCAAATTGTAACTTGAATCAACAATAAAAATAATCGTTTTACTAAATGTGAGAAGAGTTAGAATAGATATTTGACCAGCCAGTGTTCTTCTGACAATGATTAAAGAGCAAGTATAGAAATCAAGCATGTTGCTACAAATATTCCCTACTTGTTAGCTTTGGTGAATAAATCAACATTTTAATTAGAATTCATTTTAATGGTAGACAAGATACCTTAATTCTACCATTTCATTTGATGGCTTTAAGTTGATGATCTTTACTTTAGATAAATGAATGTAAAGTTTCTTGCAATTGATTAAAATCATTGACAGTGACCAGTGTATGTTTTTTTCACATACAATGTCTGCACAGTTTTGGTGATTTTGAGAGAAACTTGTTTCTCTATAACAACCTAAACTGAATGAATATACCCAACTACTTTTTCCTCAAGTAATAGAGGATGCATTTCATAAGTTTAAGTATTCATAATTTAGTAGCATCAAGTAGCCTTTATATAGGTAAATGCTTACTTACTTTGCTTCCTGTTTGGTTGATGGCCACATTCACATATACTCTGAGCCTGATATAATGTCCTATCTACATGACAAAATGATGACAGAATCGTCTAATGAAGAAGAAAGCTTTAATCAAGTGTGTTATAACTATTATTTCTACTCAAGATAGAAAATTCAGTGGTTTTCAGTGATAAATAACCCATTTTTAAAATGTTTGAATTATAGACAGTTAATTCTAACCCAGAAAATATTTGAAATGCACAGCAGTTAATATTTGTGGAGAGAAATGTTGCTAGACCTCCTTAGTATTTCCAGCATTTTCATTTTGATTTCAGATTTTCTGCATCCACCTTATTTTGCTTTTGTAACTTTAATTAAGGTCAGTGTTTTACTTTACTACCTTCCACAAATGGAGACAAGACTTAGAATAGAGATGGTAGTAACAATGACAGGTCATATTTATTGGCTGTTGTTTGAACTGGAATCAAATGTATTGTTGAACTAACTCTACATTCATGATGGTAGAGCTCAAAGATGGTGAATGGCCGGCATATCATGGAATGGGATTTAGTTGCCAGCAATGGAATTATACATGTCATAGAGGGACCTTTAACAACTCCTCATCCGGTAAGTGCTTCTCAGAAGAATGTAAACACCAGTGGCCCTGCTTCAAAATTGAAATTGTCAAAAGATGAATTGGTTAGTTAGATCTTCCAAGTTGAAGATTCAAAATTCAACCCAGCTTAAATTGATGGCGCAGGCAGAATTCACTTTTGTTTCTACTGAAATAGCATGTTTGGATTGGTGGGGCTGGGGTGGGGGTGTGTTGATTGGTGGTGATGGTGAGGGAGGAGAGAATATATTTTCAGTTCATTTTCCAGTGGATACAAAGCCATGAGTATTCATAGTTTAGGATCTACTATCAACTACTGGTTTCAAGGAAAAACTTATTATTACTGAAGGTTTTTTGGGTTAAGACTTGAGGCATATTGCTTGGGGATTAAATGCAGAGATGTTATCCTTTACCTAATCAATGTTGTACCTGATCAGAGACCACATAATTATAATACCTGATAAAAGAAATATTGAAATACATGTTCCATTTCGTATTGCTGACATTCTTGACCTTTTGATTACAAACTTGATGCTAAAAATCTTTGCATGGTGGTTACAAGAACACTATCCAGGAATAATTTTGTAAATGTAAGAAACTTTGCTAATCAGCAGATCCCTTTGTTTCGTAGGTTTTGGCGTCAGCAAGTTCATCCAGTAACGTCCTTGGTGCAACATTACTTCTAGGACTGGGATGTTTGATTGCTGCAATAGTTGGGTTGAGTTTTTGTCTCCGACGCAGGAGAGAGATTTTCCAATTTCAATACTTCAAGGTATGTCAAATTGAAATGATACATCCTGGCACTGCTTCTTCTTGGCCCATATTGATGTAACAACAACTAGCATAGTGCTAGCATGCATTAACTTGCAAGAATGCTCAGATATACAAAATGGGATATTCCCACTTGTTTTGGGTCCCTGATATGAAAAGTCAAATAGAAGTCTAAACTGTCTGAGAAACACAGTCATTTGGCCAGGATATCCAAATTGACCGATTAGTGCTCATTCTGATCAGAGATTACAAACCCCCCTCCTAGGCTCTGCTTTGGAATTGGCACAGTTCCTAAATGGTGCTACCCTTGTGTAAAAATTAAATCTATGCTATTGCTTATGCAACAGCAGAATGTTATCGATGTCACATCAAATTACACCCAGCTAAATGCTATGGATATATGGTCTTAAAATTAATTTGAAATTTGAAGAGGAGGATATAAAGTGCTTCATTTTACTAAGTAGCAGAATTTTAAATGGGTGAATTCCTGAAGTATTCAGGTCCACACTTCAACGTTCCCAGGCCTATGCTAACCCTAAATTGGCAGAACCTAGTTAAATTTAGCTGGGTTGGATTTGTCCTTAATGAGAGAATGAGTGTATTCCTTCTGACACACAGACTTCCAAGTGACTCTGAAGTACAATAAATAATTTCTAAGAAACCAAATGCTAGCTGAACAACAAAGAGAGTTAGGACAGTTTACATTATGTGTATGGCAACAAGTGTGTTTATATTATAAATCTTGTTAATTTTATTAATTAGGCTAACGACGATGATGGTATAGGCCTCAGTGCAGAGGACAATCCTGCACTGGTTTCTGTGCCAAATCCAGTGTATGGAGCATATGGTATAGTTACAGATAACACTACTGAGCCATTTGAGGTAAGTGGCTACTAAATATACTCAAGTACAGAGAATGATTTTCAATATGTGCAGCGTAGTGTTTTGGGTGGAAGTTAAAAGACAGAATTATTACTTTGGTAAGAAATATCAAGCGTGTGCAAGAAAAGCTACTTGAATTTATTTCAGGTGATTTCTACTAAAAAAAAATAAATTCCAAGATTCCCATTCAATCAAATGGCTTAATAAAACTGTCATGATTTTAGTGTTAGTGGGGGAACAGAATTGAAGGCAGGACACCAGGGTCACATTCTGGTCCGAGTGGCCAGCCTTTACTGTGGCTGCTGTCTGCTCATGGTCTCAAAATAAAAGCATCTTCATCTTCCAAGTGACCATAGCAAAAAGAGGTAAAAGTTGGTAGTTAAAATTTCATTGTTGCAAAATTTTTCCCCCCTCCCCTCCCTCTATCAAATAATACCATTTCAGACTTGCCATTCCTGTTCCTGCCAGTCTGGAGCTGGTCAACTTCATCAAGCATCTATGCCTTCTAAGATTTTCAGTTTGTTAAGAAGCCACCTAATGACCTGAACATATCCAATTAATGAAGTGGGCAATTTTACTTTCTATTACATTCACAGCTGTCTTTTTCCTCTGGAATCCATGCAGAGCTTAACTGGTAGGAGACCAGTAACAGGTCATCAGGATCATTTTTCTTGCGGTCCCACTTTGTTACATCTTGATGTGGAATGTAGAAATATAATTTCTAATTTTTAGGTTTCAGGAAACTTTATAGACACTGCTGATGTCTGACTTGTAGAGTCCTTCCTCAGCTACGTAATGCAGGTTCAGATCTTGTGGGTATACAATGGTACGGGAATTCAGTATTTAGGAAGGACAGGCAAAAAAGGAAAAGGTGGTGGAGTGGCATTGCTGGTTAAAGAGGAAATTAACACATTAGTGAGAAAGTATATTACCTCTGCACTATGGAGTCTGTAGGGGTAGAGTTGAGAAATACCTACTAATGTTGTTTGCCCCTTGGTGTCAACTATAAGACCTCCAAATCACAATGGTGACATTGGGAATGGTATTAAACAGGAAATTAGATATGCATGTGAGAAGAGAATATTGGTGATCATGGGTGATTTTAATCTGCACATAGATTGGGCAAATTAAATTAGCTACAATGCTGTAAAGGAGGAATTCCTGGAGTGTATACGGGATGGTTTTCTTGACTGCTATGTGGAGGAACCAACTAGACAGCAAGCCATGTTAGACTGGGTACTGTGTAATGAGAATGGAATCATTGGCAAACTAGCTGTGTCAGTCCCCTTGGGGATGAACAACCATAACAAGCTAGAATTTTTAAATCAAGATGGAGAGGGAAGTAATTGATTCGGAGACTAGGGCACTGAATCTTAATAAAGGAAACTACAAAGATAGGAGGTGGAAGTTGGCCATGATAGATTGGGGAAGAGTTACTTAAAAAGGGATGACAGTGGATAGGCAATGGTAAACATTCATTCAAGGAACACATGGGGGAACTGCAACAACTGTTTATTCCTGTCTGGCACAAAGCAAAAAGGGTAAAAGGGCCAATCCGTGGCTTATAAAACAAATTAGAGATTGGATCCGATCCAACGAAGAAGCATACAGATTGGCCAAGAAAAATAGTATGTCTGAGGATTGGGAACAATTTAGAGAATTCAGCAAAGAAAAGACCAAGGGATTCATTAAGAAGGGGAAAGTAAGCTCGCAAGGAACATAAAGACTAACACTAAGAATTTCTATAGGTACATAGAAAGAGAGAGAGAGAGAGATTAGTGAAGACAAAATGTAGGTCCCCTACAGAGAGAAGCGGGGGAAATTTAGCATAGGGGACAAAGAAACAGCTGAGCAAGTGAATACATACTTTGGTTCTGTCTTAACAAAAAGGACACAAATCAGATACCAGAAGTGTTGGAGAATGCAAGATTGAGAGAGAGGGAAGAATTGATGGAGATCAACACTAGTAAAGAAATGGAGCCGGAAAATTGACGGGATTGGAAGCAGATAAATGCCCAGGGCCTGATAATCTACATCCCAGAGTACTTAAGGAACTGGCTGTAGAAATAGTGGATGCATTGGTGGACATCTTCCAGGATTCTATCGACTCTGGAACAGTCCCTGTTGATTAGCTACCCTCCAATGTCACTCCAATATTCAAAGAGGGAGGTAGAGAGAAAACAGAATTATAGACCAGTAGGCCTAACAGTGGGAGTGGAGAAAATTCTCAAATCCATTATTAAGGACTTTATAGCGGAGCATTTAGAAAGCAGTGGCAGAATCAGACAGAGTCAGCATGGATTTACGAAGAGGAAATCATGCTTGACAAATCTGGTGAAATTCTATGGAGATGTGACTAGTAGAGTTGACAACAGGGAGCCAGTCGATGTGGTATATCTGGACTTTCAGAAAAAGTGTTCGACCGAGTCCCACATAAGAGATTATTGTGCAAGATTAAAGCGCATGGGACTGGGGCAAGTGTATTGAGATGGATAGAGAACTGGTTGGCAGAGAGGAAAAGAAGAGTAGGAATTAGTGGGTCATTTTCAAATTGGCAGGCAGTAACTATTGGGGTGCTACAGGAAATTGGAGCTGGGATCCCAGCTATTTACAATACATAGTAAGTGATTTAGATGAGGGAACAAAATGTAACACCTGAAGATGGGTAGGAGTGTGAACTGTGATGAGGATGCAAAGATCCTTCAGCATGATCTGGTCAGGTTGCGTGAGTGGGCAAATCAATAGCAGATGCAGTATAATTTGGATAAACGTGAGGTTATTCACTTTGGAAGCCAAAAAAAAAGCGGCAGATTACTACCTGAATGGTTGTAAATTGGGAGAGGACCTGGGTGACCTTGCGTACTAGTTGCTGAAGGTAAGCATGCAGTGGTAAAGAAGGCAAATGGTATGTTGGTCTTCATTGCGAGAGGTTGAGTACAGCAGCAGGGATGTGTTCTTGCAGTTATATAGGGCCTTGGTGAGGCCATACCTAGAATATTGTGCGCAGTTTTGGACTGGATGATGGATGATCAGCCATGATTGTGATGAACGGTAGAGCAGACTCAAAGGGGTGACTGGCCTGCACCTGCTCCTATCTTCTACGTTCTATAGAACAAGCTTGTGGTTCAAATAGAATTTCTTTCTGGAGTACCACTAAAGATTTAGTTACAAGGCCAGCAAATTCCTTGCCACATGAGTGTGTCTGTCCTCGGGTAATAAAATTTCTCCATGACTTCATGTGGTTGTAACAAGGAGGACTTGAATTATATATCTATACATCATTGAAGGCTGAAAAAGGTAGGCAGTACAGTTAATACATCACATGAAATCTAATGTTACACCTACTTGTAAGAGTACAGTGCAAGGAAATTAAATTGATATTTTGGCTTCATTTGGCATAGTGTGCCGTTTTGGACACCATGTTTTTAGGAAAGATGTGAAGGCATTACAGAGGGTGCAGAAAAGATCCATGGCAATGGTTCCAACTATCAGGAACTTCAGTTACATCAACAGATTAGAGAAGCTGCAGTTGTTTCCCCTTGAAGGGGACCAAATAAATAGAGGGGAGCTTCAGTAAAGGTAATAAAAATCATGTGAAGTCTCATCAGCAAGGAGATAGGCAGAAAGAGCAAGAACCAGAAGAATTTTTTTTGTAAAAAGTACAGAAATTGCCATAAGAAGCAATGGCAATGAGAGCTTTCTTCTTTAAAAAAAAAAGGCACCAAAGATATATAAATGTACTGTCAAAGCGGTGGTGGAGGCAGATTTAAATCATGGCTTCGAGCGAATTGGCTTATAGCCTTACAAATTTTTCCTTCAGCCTATGAGAAAAGTAGCAGGCCAGTTGTACTTTGTCATTTGGGTGCAAAAACAATTCACTAAGACAACAGATCAGTGACCTCTGTGCTATAACCTTGTGTGGAAACAAAACTAACCTAAAAGTGTGCTGAACAGTTGCAGGAAAGACAGTTATCAAAAAGAATTTTTCAATGTGACTAATTATGATGTTATTAAACAAAAAGACACTTTGTGCTTTAAGTCTTGGAATAAAGGTTTTAAACTAACTCCAATTGTTTGGTAGGTTGGGGTAATTAATTGACAAAATCATATTTACTTGCAATGTTTTCACAAGGCAAAACCCATTCCTAAATAAAAGCAACTTCTGTGCAAATAAATATTATATTAAACCATATTGTTGATTAATTGACATAGTCAAAGCATACACCATGTTTCTAAGAATGAAACTACAGTTTAAGAATTTGCTGATTTTTAAAAGTTTGTCTTTAAATACAGGACAACGATGAATATGAATATTATTCAGACACCCAGAACATTCTACAAGATTGAAGAACCAGACCTCTGCTTTTTTTTTCAAACAAAAAACTACCACTCATACTGTACCATTTTAGTGCAATGTATGATGATGCTACAGGAACAAAGTATAGGCTCTAAATGAAGGACAGGCTGTACGATAGCAACAAATAAATGAAATCACTGGACTTGGTGTCCGATTACTTTTTGTACTGATGTGTGGGCACACTGTCAGAGTCACCAAGGAACATGTGAAATGCATATATTGAATTGCATTTTTGCGGTAGTCTGGTGACTCTAGAAAGACTGAAAATTTATTTTTTCATTTTGTACTAATAGGCAAAGATAACATTGTTTTATATATAAGTTTGTAATACGCATCTTTTTACAAGTAGATTTATAAAGAAGACCATTGTATACTTTTCTTTGACTATGTTAAAATGTGGAATATATACCACCAACCGAATGTCATTTCCTTACTTCCAACAATGTTAAAAATGCAAAATAAGAAAAGCACATGGCAGAATTTCTCAGCAGGTCTGGCAGAAATTAAGACAGACATAAATCACAGGTTACATTTTGATATTACAAAAAAAAAAAACACCTTTCAGTGGGACAGTTCGTTGAAGATCTACTCAAAAATATGAATTGACAATTTCTGCTCGCTGATGCTGATGGCTCCACTATGTTATTCCTGCAATTTGTTTCTGACTAACAAAATACCTACTAAAAAAACCTTTTGCTCACTCTATTTTTGAATTGTTCCAAAAGCTGGTGTATGTTCAACAGGCAATCCCATTCATGTTTAAGGAGCAGTTAATCAAAATTATATTCATTGCAGAAATACAAAAGTATCATAACACAGTCTTCACCCAGAAACAAAGCATTGCAAAATACATTATTTCATTAGTAATGAAATCACATTTTGCAGGTCTAAGTCACCAATGCTTTGTTTCTCCAAAAACCAAGGCTTGTTATATACCAGACATCAAATCTTCCATGAAAATTTGAAAATAAAGTGTTTTTATTGTAACCGTTTGCATGAATGTTCTGTTCTGTTTTCAAGAATCTAATCACAGTGATTAACAAGGACTTCATGCCAGGTAATGGCAGGTCTGTAGGCTGTTAACTCCAGACTGCAAGTTTAATCGCTTCAGTTCTTTTGGGACTGGTGATCCATCAGCATGATGCATTAGAATGTACCCCTAGGTGGCAGTGTTTCCAAATGTTAGCTGTCAGCTTATTGAATGCATAGTTTCAAATTTATCATGTTGTGCATGTTAGAAATCACATTGCATCATGAAATTTTACTGCACATCACTAATATTTTATACCATGAATGAGAGATACTAGAAATCACATGCTTTGCATATTTAGCAATTATATTGTTAAGGACATTAAATCAGGAGACATTTTGTCAGCTGTAAGTAAGGACTGACATTAACAAACTTGTAAACATGGATCATTTGTATTGAGCATGTTCATGGTTTCGGTTGTGAAGCTTTTCAGTTGAAACATTCATAGTTAACCTGATGGGATAGTGATTCCAGATTTCAACTTCCTGATTTTGCCCCAGTTACAGCACCTTTTTAAAGATACTAACTTCACAGTTCACAATGGATGCAGTCAATTTTTAAAATAAAAATCAATCCCAATTAATTAACAGAGACTTTAGGCAATTGTCTAGTTTCAGTGACTTCATCCAAACCAAAAATGTTTATTACAATTTAGAAATGTAACGGAAGGCAATGGTCTAGTGGTATTTTTGCTGGACTGTTAATCCAGATTCTCAGGTAACATTCTGGGGACCTAGGTTTGAACCCCACCATGGCAGATGGAGGAATTTGAATTCAAAAAAACAAAATCTGGAATTAAGAGTCTAAAAGGTTGCCATGAATCCAATGCCAATTATCAGGAAAAAACCCATCTGGTTCACTAATGCCCTTTAGGGAAAGAAACGGCCATCCTTACTTGAGATAACAAGGTGTAGAGCTGGATGAACACAGCAGGCCAAGCAGCATCAGAGGAGCAGGAAGGCTGACGTTTCGGGCCTAGACCCTTCTTCAGATTCTG